TGTGTGGAAGTCAAAGGGAAACACAGACGTTACTCAGAGGTAAAGTCAGCCGCTCTGGCTGATGTTCAGAGAACTCATGAATCTTAAAGGAATGTCTGTCCAAACCGTGGGTTTGCTGCAGGCTTATTTTTCAGCCCAATTCCCACTTCGAGTCAGTAATGAGCTACAAATCAATTTTCATATTTCTTCCAGGGCAGAGTCTGCCTCTCATTAGCCGCTCCCGCTTTGATCAGAGCGGTTGGTTAGGACCACGCTGGAGATGGGGGGTGCTAATTTCTACTGATGCCGCACAAAAGAAGAGGCATTACAGCCCATTTTTGGGTCAGCTGTGTGTGTCTAAGTATCCACCTTTTTACGAACATCTCCCCCGTATGTTATCCAGTCTGGAGTCTAGATACAAAGCCATGGTAGGAGAAGATCTAAGTTCATAGAATTAATTAATTTACATTCTATCCCGTGTATTTTTTAGCTTAAATCCTAAATGTACAGTTGTGTTCTCCTCAAATCTGCAGCCTGATTTATGATAGAAAGCTCACAGGAGAGTTCTTATTAAGGCTTTTAAAGCCTTGAACATAGCCTTGAAGCCCTGGACATCTTTTCATTCATTCTACAACAACAGAATTTGCCCTTTGTCTGATTCTCCATGTTAAAACCGTGATGTGAAGCCATTGAAATGACTTCAGTTTTAATTTCAACCGGGTTTGGCAGGAGCAAAGAAAGAAGAAAACAGGAGCACGTTAATGTTTTCCAAGCTACTTTTTCTGATTATTTACCCTGTATGGTGAATTTTTGGACCCAAATGCTTTATAGTAGTAGTTTTAGAGGCCCTGAAAGCTTGTCTATGTTCCCAAATGGTAACTACAAAGATCCAACAGCAGAACCTTTGAGGAAACCACCTCAGAGACGATCGGACCCCTGAAGATCCAATTAGCTGCTTTCTCTTCTGACGATCTGATAACCAGGAGAGGAACGCAGCGAATACATGCAGATAGAGGAGAGTAGATTATTCCTAATTAACCGTTGAGAGTTAGCAGAATAACCGTCTGAAGGGAGAGAATAAGCTCTGGCATCCCGGCTTTTGTTCTCTCCTGGCAGGTGATTTCAGCCCGGAGCTGAACGCAGTTATTCACAGTGTGGAAAGCAGCTTTCCCCCCCTAATTTACTTATGGGATATATTCAGACGGTCACTAAATTCTGATTAAGTGAGATTAAATGAATGAATCAAATCAAAAAGCTTTAATCAAAGCACCAGTTTGAATGATGAAAATAAGGAATAAATCGGGATTTTGGCGTTTTTATGGCTGGATTAGAATACAGCTATCTGGATATTGGCTCCTTGAGATGATATTTGCTGTGATTTGGTGCATTATAGATAAAGCTGATGTCCCATTGGTGCAAAACTCCCACTTGCTGAACGGCTGGTTTGTATTTCTACACGTGAGAATGGGAGCACCAATCGGAACATTTTTACTGAATTATTTCAGCTTTACAAGCATTTTTCAAAGGAACAACCCGAAATAGAGCTGAAAACCTTTAGCTAAACGCACCAAACGACTCACATTTATCACATGATCAGACCAAACTGTGAGAAATGGCTGTTTGACCATCATTTTTTTCAGATCCTAAATAAATCAAAGTCAGATTAACAGATTAAATTCTGCAACTTCTGTGAAGCTGATTGATGTATTTTCTTGACAAACGATGCATTTCCATTATTTTTTCCCTCTAATTCAAACTTTTTTTTCTTTGAGGGATAAATGCATTTGTTGCTGTTTTGATTGCTGTGGATTTGGACGATTTGAACCAATCACCTATTACAAAACGAGACACTTTTCAGCTGTGTGTTGTTATCATAAAAGCAAAATAAATAAAAAAAACTTCAATGAGTAAAAAAAGATAATGATGAGATTAGAAATAAAGGGTCAGTTTTGGGAGTGTGGCATCACATTTTGGTTGTTAAAAAGTCACTTTCTGTCATTCTGGAGCTGCGTAACAGTATCAATTTAAGAGAAAATGTGTTGCATTGCGATAAAAATGACTCATTTTGGTAGAATATAAATGGATTTAAAGGTGACACCAGGGGAAGTTTCTGTTCTGTGCGTTGTACATCAATTATTACATTTTTTCCTGCAA